CAAATAGCAGATACCTGACCTAAACTCAACATCAGATTGGTTTCAAGTAACGGAATTCAATTAGTGATTATTACAAACAAATCTGTCTCAGAAGGCATGCAGCCAGAATAGTCCTTAGAAGCCAGGATGGCAAGACTTCATCACTCATACTTGAGATATGTTATCAGGAGAGAACAGTCCCTGGAGAAGGACTCCATGCTTGGTAAAATGGAGGATCAGTGAAAAAGAGGATGAACCCGCAATAAGATGGGGTAGAATAGTAGAAGCAATTATATGTTCAAATGTAACAACCGTTGTAAGGACGGGGCAGGACCAGGCAGTGTTTCGCTCTGTGGTATGTAGGATTTTTATGAGTAGGAATTAACTTGAAGGAGCCTAACAACAAACTGAGATTACCATACATGGTAACACCCCTAGAACTCAATTCAGATATGTGAAGTGCCATAGCGACCCTGTATAGGGCTTCCGAGGAGCAGCTGGTGAGCTTGAACCACTGACCTTGCTGTTCAAGCAGAATTTGCGTCTAGCGCATTAACCCACAGAGCCACAGCAGGACTCCTGTAATAGTACATAGCCTATAAAAATTACTGCTCAATGACCTCTACCCATTGAAATGGCTCCTGATAATCTGTTTAGTTTTCAGGGGGGTAACTGATTGAGAGAAAAGTACCAAGAAATGTTAAGTTTCAATTTAATTTAATTTCAGAGACAAGAATTCCTTCTGTATCTGAACTCCCAATGCATTTTACCTGACCCTCTCCTGTGGCACTAAACAGTTTTCAACTTCCATCCCGGCTCTTGTCACCAGCTCACAATGCAACCTTGGCCAAAGCATCTCCTTTCTCTCTACCTCATGCTCCCATCTGTGAAATGAGAGGCTTCAATGACGTCATTTCAAAAGTTTCTTCAAAATGTAACATTTCATCATTTCATAATTATCAAGCTGCAAGCACATGCTTTACCTCACCAATGTTCCCGAGACAAAGACGGCATCTGATGTACCTCTGTAGTCCCCACACTGTCTAAACGGCTCATTGAACTTCTTTTAGCAAATGTGCCACAAATACTTTCAAGGACACAAAGACAGTACAGTCATCCGAAACTTCCACTCTTTCTGTTGCCCCGTTAAGCCCTTCCCAACCGTGATTTTCGCTCAGTCTTGAAGTCTTTTCCTACCATAGCTCTGGCAGGGTTACTGGGAGGCCAGAGGACCTAAACATAGCTCCTAACACTGGGAAGAAATGTACCCACCAGAAGTTCAGATGTAAACCATCTGACCCAGAATCACACACCTCGCCAGAGACCGAGAAAAAGGTTCTGTTTGATAGACTAAGCTGCATGGATGGACTCCAGTCATCTAAAAGCGTGTGCTGTAAAGTTACAGCAGATGTGTTTGAGGGAGACAAGTGACACCAGGGGGTATCAGGACCTGCAATAAAGAGCAAATAGAGCATCCCTTTGATGTTTCCAGTAGAAGGACACCCTAAAATTACCAATCCTAGAAGCAGCTACACTGCTGTGACAAGGAAATACCTGTTTAGAAGGTATAAAGCCTAGGTGTTAAGACTTGAAAGCCAAAATGTCTGGATTCAAATCCTAGCTCTGTTAATTATGAGATATACAGTCTTATGCAAGTTAATTATCCTTCCATCCCTCAGTTTCCTCATCTGTAAAATGAGGATAACAATAGTACTCAGGTAGAGAGTTGCTGTGAAGATTACAGGAGTTAATGCAAGTAAAATCCTTCCAACAGTACCTGACCTATAGCCACTTATCAAGCAGTAAGAGCTCACAGAATTGCCATAACTACTAGAAAGAATTTGGGGAGAAAAGAACAAAGACGCTGTTATTAAAAATTCAAAATCTGCAGCTCCCTTCTCTTAGTGATAATTTCAGGAGTTCCATCAGTAATACGAAGAAATCCTGGTGGCACAGTGGCTAAGTGCCAAGCTGCCAACTGGAGTTGGCAGATCAAATTCACCAGCCGTGCTCCACAGAAGAAAGGTGTGGCAGTCTGCTTCGATAGGTTTACAGCCTTGGAAACCCTACAGGGCAGTCCTACTCATAGAGTCCTTATGAGCTGGAATTAACTCAACGGCAAGGTGTTTTATCAGCAATTTGACAGCGCTCTGGTAACTCAGTTAAAGCACTCAAATGCTAACTGAAAGATCAGTGGTTCAAGCCCATCAGCTGTTCCACAGGAGAAAGATTCACATCTTTGGAAACCCCTGAGGCCGTTCCACACTGTCCTGTAGGGTTGCTATGAGTCAGAGTTGACTCGATGACAATGGGGTTTGGATCTGTAAAGGAGGTCCTGGAGTGGTGCTGCGGGTTAACGTGCCAGACTGCAAGGTCAGTTTGAGCCATACGGTCGGTGGTTCAAACCTACCAGCTACTGCTCGGAAACTCTACACAGGGTCACTATGAATCAGAACTTAACAACAACAACAACAACAGTGTGGTGCGTCAGGATAATGCACTGGACCATAAAGTCGGTTTGAACCACGAGGTCAGTGGTTCAAACTCACCAGTCACTCCTTGGAAACCCTATATGGAGTCGCCATGAGTCAGAACAGACTCGAATGCACTTAATAACAACAATAAGAAGTGTGGCGCCGGACTACTAAACACAAGGTTTGTGGTTCAAAGCTACTAGCTGTTCCTTAGAAATCCTCGCTATGAGTCAGAACAGACTCAGCAACAACAAAAAGGGTAGTGATGGGTGGTGGAACACTGGTTAAGTGCTGAACTGCTAATCCAAATATCAGTGGTTCAACCCCAACAAGTATTTTATGGGAGAGATGTGTCAGTCAGCCTCTGTAACCATAACAACCTTGGATGCTGGGGGGCGGTCTTACTCTGCCCTGTAGATATCAATCAGAAGGGACTCAACTGCAATGGGGTTGGTTTTTTGCTGTTGTTTTATCAGCAATTCATATTTGTTTATTTTATCAGACCTAACTTCTCCTGACATACAGACTATTCATTAAAAAATTAAATTTCTTTCTGAAAGATTCCTAGGTTTCAAAAACTACTTGATCACCCACGCTCTTGGAGTACAATAGGACCATTAATGTGGAGGGTGAAGAGCAAGCAGGAGCACAAAGATACCTTTGTAGCAGTTTGTGCTATCACATACCACCACTTAGGTTTCTCAGAGTTGCCTCCTTAAGAAAGAAACTAACAATCCCCATTGTTCCTTCACATCAGAGTTCTTGGATGTGATAGTTCCTAAATCCCTGGCGAGGCCTTATTAAAGATCAGAGGATCTCAGCTCTTTCCATTAGAACAGCATCAAATCCCTTCAAGTGATTTTCTTAGGTCAGCATCATTGTTTGAGATGCCAGGGAGACTGGTGAAATTTCCAACCACTAAGCTTGTTCCTTGTTTCTAGCTAAAAATACAAGGTAATGTTAGAAAAAACATTAACTATCTCCGCGGGAGATTTTTGAGACTGGGTCACGCCAAGAAATTTACAGAGAGCTGTGAGATCTGTTTTAAGTCCTATTTCGAAGACCATCATTTTAGTAAGTACACAAAAAACAGTGGAAAGAAGAATGGCAACAAAACCCACCAGAGTTGTAAGAAAACCCACCCACTGCCATCAAGTCAATTCTGACTGCGAGGGGCCACACGGGGCAGAGTAGAACCGCTCCTTAGGGTGTCCAGGGCTGTAAATGTTTATAGGAGCAGAGACATCTCTCTCACACAGACTGGCTTAGCAGTTGAGCACTTTCCCACAGCGCAACGGGGACTCCGTATCAGAAAACAATGGCCCTTCAGAGTTCCAGATCATTCCCTGATCGAATACCTAAAAGTCTGGTTTTCCAAATATTTTTCCATAAAAGCCAAAACCCAATGCGGCCGAGTCAATTCCAATGCACGGCAAACCAGCAAGATCGAATCCTCTAGGAGCGTTCCAAAGCTGGAAATCTTTATGGAAGCAGACTGGTGGGTTAGAACCACTGACCTTTCCGTTTGCCCTCTAGCACTTCACTCACTGTGCCAACAAGGCTCCTGATTTTTCCATAAACAGGCAGAACTGCTGAAATGGTAAAAGAACTAATACTATGTATGTCTTCGGCTTGTTCGTCAAATAATCAAGCCCAAAACAAGGGACGTCAGCAGTGGCCAAACTCAGCATGTTCATCCAAATACCTTTCTGGCAGTCCGCTTCTAAAACACACAATGGCATCCCTGCTGTTAGTCTTGTTGTTGTTATGTGTCATCAAAAGTCAACTCTGACTCATAGTGATCCGACTGGACAGAGTAGACCCCAAACGTACAGAGAATGAACAACAAAAGATGGAACGTTTGGGTAGGCTCAGCATTCGTGCCTCTGGTCTCAGTTTCAAGGGGAACAGATTTTAGAAAAGGTAAGAATATGTTTTGCATAGCAACCCTATTAGGTCTAAAACTGTCCAATTGGGTGAGGGGCTGGAGCTTCACGGAAATGGAGGACTGTCTACTTAGAAAACCCACCACACATGCTTCTGGCAAGGGAGGACAATAGGAAAAGCTGTAGGAAGCCAAGAACAAGTTCATATTTGACAAATCACTCCCATAAAGACAGTGATGTCAACTGCAATAAAGTATTTGGGCAAGACTGGAAATGTGCACCTGTGGGAACCTAGAAGAGTTGACAGATTCTTGTTTTCTAGGCCCTTTATCAGCAAGTTAATTATAGCAACCGTACAATCGACTCTGAGTTTAGAGAAAGACAGTTAGCTATATGAAACCAGGAGGATGCTCTCATGGGCCTGGGAAAGACAGCGTGACAGTAGTGCTTACATGCAAAAAGATTCCATGTCTGAGCACAGGATAACAATGAGCCAGAGAGCGCAGCTAGATTGGGAAGAGCTGTGTTCTGCAGGTATATGAGTGTATCAAGCCTAGCAAGGGCACACAATACACTTACATACACATATGCACATCTGTAGAGCCTCAACAACTCTGCTCATGTTACATTCAGGGCTGTTTTTTCCCAGAGCAGGCGTTACCTTCGCAGCTATGATTGTACACCGCCACCGCTGACCGTTCCACCAGATTGTCATCGTGGTGCCAGCTCACCGCCATTTTCCCCATCCCAAAATAGGGTTCCTCTTTCAGGTAAGACATTTTCTGGGGATCCATGAAATTCAACAACGTTACGTTATAGGCTGCTCTGCTCTTGATGTCCACTTCATCTTGTCTATCAAAGGACGGCCCCATACCAACTCTGGGGAACTCTGGGGCCATGTATACTGGCATGGCGGCATCACTAGATTTCTCTTTGGAAGTGAGCTCTTCCAAAGCCTGGATGGTCTCAGTCTGCAAATGGGCATTGAGCTTGAGGAAGGTTTGACAAGCAAAACCTATTTCATCCTCAGTATATTTTATTGTGGAACCTTCCACTGGCCATGGTACGGTGAAGAGTCTGGTGTTCAGGTACTTGTAGGTGCAGCCGGGATGACCAATGAGGATGCGAGACACTGGAGTGAGCAAATCTTTGCCTTGGATCCTAACCAGGTCCCGGAACAAGCAGCCATGCTTGTGCAGTATGAGAAAGGCTTCTTGGACCTCGAGACGGAGCTCCGCAGGTACACTGTCAGCTTCTCGGAGAATGAGTTTAGGATATTTCAGCTGCCACTAAAACAAAACCAAAGCAAAAATATATGTTTATGGAGATCTACAATTCCATTATTTCTAAAGGTATGTTTCTGTGTAACAAATAAAGGAAAAAAAAAGCATTTCATCACTGGTTTTATATGTCCTTAGTTAACAACAGAATAATAAATAAAACAAACGACACCAAATTCTCCAGTCAGAATTTTCAGATCCCAGTACAAACTACTAACAATCTTTAATTTAAACAAAACAACAATTTGGGTTTGGATCTCCCAGATTCTTTCTCTCACACGTTTCCACCCACCGCTAAATGCTGACGTCCCTTGTTTTGGGCTTGATTATTTGACAAAGGAGCCGAAGACATACATAGTATTAGTTCTTTTACCATTTGGACTCCCCCAAAGTACAATTTCATTAATAAACTGCTTAATATTTATTTATTTATTAAGTGCTTACGATTAAGAAACCGTTTTAATTCTCCCGGAATCTAGATTTCTGGTGTCCAAGGAGGTGGGGTAATCACCAAGGTCAGTGAGCATTAAATATTCTTGTGAATCTTGAGCTGTGAAGAAGCTACCTTTGACTTTCTAGAAATTACCTTTGACTCAAATAATGTTGTTGTTTTTGTTGTTTTGTTGTTAAGTACCGTGGAGTTGGTTCCGACTCATTGTGACTCTGCACAGGGTTTCTGAGGCTGTAAATCTTTACAAGAGCAGAAAGCCTCATCTTTCTCCTGCAGAACAGCTGGTAGTTTCAAATTGCTGACGGTGAGATTAGCAGCCTGATTTGTACTCACTATGCTATCTAGATAAACTAATAACACTATTTTGCCTTGGGCATTGTATTCTTTTGAAGAATCCAGTCAGCCTCCAGAAACAAGATTCCAGAAGTCAGAAGGACGCTATCTTTTAGGGTACACCAACAATTATTGGAGCAGGATATCCTTTTTGGTAAAGTGTAGGGTCGGAGAAAAAGAGGACGACCTCCAACAAAATGGACTGGCACAGTGGTGGCAGCGATGAGTTCAGGTGTAGCAATAATTGTGAAGTTAGCTCAGGACCGGGCAATGTTTGGTTCTGTTGTGCATAGGATCTCTATGAGTCAGTACCGACTTCATGGCACCTAACAACAACAAAAATGATCATTATTTTAATTGTTCTCCAGGACAAGGCTGTATGAAATCCTTCCTGACACAAAGTGGCTATCAGTTCGGTTCTGATACTTCATCCATGGCACTGCAAATAAGATTGGGAATAAAAGTATTTGCGGGCTTTCTCATCTTTGGAACAATTTTTGACTCTCTAGGAATCCTGGTGTGGTACTGTAATACCAATGCTGGACTGCTAACAACAAGGTCAGCAGTCCAGACTTACCAGCCACTATGTGGTGCTGTGGGTTAATGTGCTGGACTGCAAAGTCAGTTTAATGTGCAAGGTCAGCGGTTCAACACCAGCTTCTCCTCAAAAACCCTATACAGGGTTGCTAGGGGTCAGAACCGACTCAACAGCATCTAACAACAACAACAACAACAACAACAGGGTCATTGTGTGTTGGAACCAATTTAACAGCAGTTGAAATGCTAATCCAATTTGCAAGTCAAATTTGAAATTAATTTCAATCAATTTCCATTAATATGATTTTTCTTTTAACACTGTAGAACAGGTGCTATTCTAAATGATTTATATGCATTGACTTTTTTAATTCAGATAATGTTTTATGAGGTGATAGTTGTTGTTGCTAAGTACCACTGAGTCCGTTCTGACTCATAGCAACCCTGTACAGTGTTTCTGAGGAGCAGCTAGTGAATTTGAACCACTGACCTTGCAGTTAGCAGTCCAGTGCTGATCCTGCAGTGCCACAGCAGAACTCCGCTTTATGAGGAAGTACTGTTATTATCTCCAGTACAGAGGTGAGAAGATTGAAGCACAGACAGCTAAAACCTTCCCCAAGTCTCACAGCTGATAAATATTGGAGCTGGAATTTGAACCACCAGACTGGACTTGCTCTCACTGAAAAAGAAGCTGATTTCTGCTCCGACATTTTCACTGAGCAAGAGGCTCACTTCTCCGTAGAAGTTAGACACTAAATCTCAAGAACAGACAAGCTCTGACAATTCTGTCACCGCTATAGTTTTTGTGCCCAGAATGCACTCATTAAATGCTAAATGAATGAATAAATGAGGTATTTTATAGCAATTCTAGAAAGTTGTAGCAATTCTATTGGTATCCTGGGATGAAAATACTCAGGGGCTTCAAAAAGTTTGAGGAAAACCACCAATATCTCTTAATTCCATGTTCTAGGGACTTTTTTAAAGACCTCCTGTGCTATAATTCCTTTTCTGTGGCGGTGGAGGGGTTCAGTTCTCGGCTGGTAACTCTAACGTCAGTGGTTCCAACCCACCAGCCAATCTGCGAGAGAAATGTGTGAAATCCTGCATAGGATTTCCGAGGAGCAGCTGCTGGGTTTGAACTGCCAAACGTGTGGTTCCCAGTCCAGTGCTGATCCTACTACAGCGCCACACCACTAGGTGAGTTCAAGCACCAAGCTTTTGGTTAGCAGTTGAGCACTTACCCGTTGCGCCACCAGAACTCCTTTCTCTTTCTATCTCTTCAGTCCATAAGTGCCACTTATATGCTAAACAAGTAGCCCTGGTGGCATAGCGGGTAAAGTGCTGCGCTGCTAACCAAAAGGTTGGCAATTCTAACCTATCAGCCGCTCTATAGGGGAACGATGAAACAGTCAGCTTCCATAAGTGACTATATAGGACAAAGCAGTTCTACTCTGTCCTATGTTGTTATTGTTAAGTGCTGTCGAGTCAATTCCAACCCATAACGACCCTGTATCGGATTTCCCAAGGAGCAGCTGGTGAGCTTGAACTGCCGACCTTGCAGTTCAAATGACTTTGCAGTCTGATGCCACACCAGGACTCCACTCTGTCCTATAGGTCATGGCAAGTTGTCAACAACTCAATGGCAGTAGGTTTATATATAAACACAGCAAGACCATTTAATTTTTCATATATTTTTTTCTTTCAGCATACTTTTGAGAATCTGCTCTGGTGTAGATAACTACCATGCTAACTGCACGGTCAGCAGTTCAAACCCATCAGACACTCTTGGAAACTCTATATAAGGTCTCTGTGAGTCGGAACCGAGTTAATGGCACACAACAACAAAACAACAGGCAGAAATAAGTTTCTTACCCTCACTGAGCCTTTTTCTAGATCAAGTAAATGAGGAAACGCAATCTCAGATCAGGCTAAGGCCTAAGAGAAAAACAAACCAGAAGAAAACTATCATCTGAATAGAAAGGACTCTCTAAGGAGATAGGGTTTAGGCTGAGATCTTTTGGGGAAAGGAGGCACCAGGATGTGATGACGTAGGGAAAGAGATTCCCAGAAGAGAAGCCAAAAAATGCAAAGACACTGATGCTAGGGACACAAGTTAGGCAAGCTTTACTAGACCATAAAAAACCATCAGGAAGCCCTGCCCCTCCCAGAGCTGAAGCCAAAGCAAAGGCGTTGAAGGCCAAGAAGGCCGTGCTGAGAGGCGTCCACAGCCACAAAATCAAGAAGATCCGCACCTTCCGTCAGACCAAGACTCTGAGGCCCTGAAGGCAGAGCGCCCTCAGGGGAAACAGGCTTGACCACTATGCCATCATCGTGTTCCCTCTGACTACTGAGTCAGCCATGCAGAAGACTGAATATACTGACACACTTGTATTCCTTGGGATGTCAAGGCCAACAAGCACCAGATCAGACAGGCTGTGAAGAAGCTCTAGGACACTGACGTAGCCAAGGTCAACACCTTCATCAGGCCTGATGGAGAAAAGAAGGCATATATTCGATTGGTTCCTGACTAGGATGCTTTGGATGTTACCAACAAAACTAGGATCATCTAAATGGAGTCCAGCTGGCTAATTCTAAATATAATCTTTTTTTTTCAACACCAAAAAAGGAAAAGACAATGGTAGAGTGCTATGAGATGAAAAGGAAGGTGGAAGCCAGAGCAGGTCAGAGTCAGGACCCTAAGTGCAAATGAGGATTTCAAAGGGAGAAGAAGAGTCTGATTTACATTTAATAAAAATCACTCTGGTTGTATTACCTGGCATACACTGGAAAGAGGCAATGTGAAAGCGGAAAATCCTATTGGGTGCTATTACAACCGTCCAGGAGAATAGTGATGACAGTCTGGACAAGGGCAGAAACAAAGACAAATGGACAAATAAAATCATAATTTGTAGGCAGAGCTAAAGTGCATGCTTATGGATTAGACATAAGGTGTGAACAAAGGAGTGGAGTTAAGGATGACTTCCTGATTTCTGGACTTAATAATGGACTACACAACTATTTTTTAAATAAGGAAAACTGGCTTAAAATAAGTATGGTGGAAAAGGAATAGAGAGAGATGACCAGTCTCTAGAGAAGGACACCATGCTTGGTAAAGTGGAGGGTTGGCAAAAAACCAAGGACGGCCAACAAGATAAATTCACACAGTGGCAGCAGCAATGGGCTCAAACGTAACAACAATTGTGAAGATGGCACAGGGTCACTCTGAGTTGGAACTGACTAGACGGCACCTAACAGCAATACCAATGAAATATCAATCCAAGTGAAAACAGCAAGAGGGTAACTAGATCTAGACTTTCTCTGGAGCTCAGAGAAAGTGGGGATGAGAAAATAAACATGGAAACTGTCAGCACACAGCTGGCTTCTAAAAAGCAAGAAATGAATTTGATCACCTTGGGCTAAAAGTACAGAAAACCAAGTCAAACCCATTACCACTGAGTTAAGTTCCAACTCATAGCGACCCTCTGTAGGCTTTCAGAGATTGTACGTCATTATGGGAGCAGTCGAGCTCATCTTTCTCCCGTGGAGCTGCTACTGGGCTTGAATCACTGACCTTGCAGTTAGTAGCTCAATGCTTATACCCACAGTGTCACTAGAGTTCCTTACAAATACAGAAGAGGACTCAAGATAATTTTCTGAGACACAGGAAAGTTCAGCAGAAGACACCAGATCA